GAAGATTCTTAGAACTGATGGTGGAGGTGAGTATAACTCCAAAGAGTTCCAGAAGTTCTGTGAGGAGAATGGAATTGAGCATGAGGTTACTGCTCCCTATACCCCTCAACACAATGGTCTTGCTGAAAGAAGAAACCGTACTTTGCTTGATATGGTGAGAAGCATGCTAAAGGAGAAGAAGCTTCCTCAGAAGCTCTGGGGAGAAGCTGTTGCCACTGCAACGTATGTACTCAACAGATGTCCTACGAAGAAGTTGAAGGAAATAGTTCCTATGCAGAAGTGGACTGGAGACAAGCAAAGTGTTAGTCATCTGAAGGTGTTTGGTTCTGTTTGTTATAAACATGTTCCAGAAGCCAGAAGACAGAAGCTGGATGATAGAAGCAAAGTGATGATTCTGATAGGGTACCACAGTACAGGTGCATACAAGCTCTATTGTCCAGAAACCAATAAAATTGAATTCAGCAGAGATGTGATTGTGAAGGAATCAGAAGTTTGGAATTGGGATAAGTCTGATTCTGATGTTAGAACCCCTGAAGAAAGGCCAGAGTTAAGAATTTCTGAAGTTGAAGTAAACCCTGATATTGACTCTGACTCTGATACTGATTCAAACTCTGAAGAAGACTCAGAAGATGAAGGTGACCCAGATGACCCAGACTCTGATGATTCAGACTCTGATGGCAATCCAGATCTTGGTGGCAATTCAGACTCTGGAAATATGCCAGACTCTGAAGATGGTCAAAGCTCTGGAGGTCAATCATCTGAAGCTAAAAACTCTGAAGCTCAAGACTCTGAACAAGTTCAGAGACCACAAAGAATCAGAAGCGTTCCCAGAAGATTTGCAGAATTTGACATGCTGCAAGACACTGAAGTAGACTCTGAAGGAGAAGTTATTCAGTGTGCCATGTTAGTAGACTCTGAACCTATAAGTACAGAGGAGGCTCTTAAGCAGAAGCTCTGGCTGAAGGCCATGAAAGAAGAACTTGATGCTATAGAGAGAAACAAGACTTGGAAGCTGACAGAACTTCCAAAAGACAAGAAAGCCATCAGCGTCAGATGGGTTTTCAAGCAGAAGTTAAAGCCAGATGACTCAATTGGCAAACATAAAGCAAGGTTGGTAGCCAGAGGATTTCTACAGAAACCTGGGCTGGATTATTCTGAAGTGTTTGCACCTGTAGCAAGACATGAAACAATCAGAATGGTGATTGCAATAGCTGCTAACAGGAATTGGCCTCTGATGCATTTAGATGTAAAATCTGCATTTCTGAACGGTCCATTAGAAGAAGAAGTTTACGTGTCACAACCTCCTGGATTTGTGAAAAAGAATCAGGAAGGGATGGTGTACAAATTATACAAAGCTCTATATGGATTGAAACAAGCGCCCAGAGCTTGGAATCAGAAGATTGATTCATTTTTCAAGAAGCAAGGCTTTCAGAAATGTGAGATGGAGTACGGTGTCTATGTTCAGCATACTTCTGAAGGCAATATGACTCTGGTATGTTTATATGTTGATGATATACTATTGACTGGAAGTTCTGAACAGGAGATAGCCAAGTTCAAGAAGGTTCTAATGAATGAATTTGAAATGACTGATCTAGGCAAAATGACATACTTTCTAGGGATGGAGTTCAGATATTCTGAGAAAGGTATCATTTTGCATCAGCTCAAGTATGAATTAGAACTTCTGAAGAGATTTGATCTGAAGAATTGTAAGATGGCTGTCACACCTTCTGATACAAATCAGAAACTGGATTCAGACTCTGAAGGAAAGGATGTGGATGCTACAACCTTCAAACAGTTGGTTGGTTCTCTAAGGTATCTGTGCAATACCAGACCTGATATTTGCTACTCATTTGGGATGGTTAGTAGGTTCATGAGTAAACCTAAGTGGTCCCATTACCAAGCTGCTGTCAGGATTCTGAGGTATATCAAAGGAACTCTGAAGTATGGAGTGTTATTTCCCTCTGGAGGAAATAATGAGTCAAAACTTCTGAGTTATTCAGACTCTGATTGGTGTGGAGACAGAGTTGACAGAAGAAGTACATCTGGGTACTTGTTCAAATTTCTGGGAGGTCCCATTTCTTGGTGTTCCAAGAAGCAACCTGTTGTGGCGTTGTCAACCTGTGAAGCTGAATACATTGCAGGTGCTGTTACTGCATGCCAAGCTGTGTGGATTCTGAATCTGTTGCAGGATCTGAAGATTAAGGTAGACAAACCTCTGAAGTTGATGATTGACAACAAGTCTGCAATCAACCTTGCCAGAAACCCAGTGTTGCATGGGAGAAGCAAGCATATTGAGACCAAGTATCATTTTCTGAGACATCAAGTTCAGAGTGGAGTGTTAGAAGTTGTACACTGCAGCACTCAGAAGCAGTTGGCAGATGTTCTGACGAAAGCTATCAAGACTGATCAATTTCTCAGATTAAGGGATGGAATTGGTGTTACAAGTTTTGATGGAATATGAATTAAGGGATGGTATTAGTAATAATTCATATTTTATTATATTATTTTCTTAAGCCCATAAGTTTGTTAGAGGGTATTTTAGTATTTTATCTTATTCTAGTAACCCTAGTTTTAGCTTATAAATAGGGTGACAATCATTGTAACTCTTAATCCTGTTTCTTCTGCCGTCATTCTCTTAATAGAATATTTCCCTATTTTCATCATTTATTCTATCTTTGCACCAACAAATATAACATGTAAACTTAATGATATACTCCCTCCATTTTTAATTATATGTCTTTTTGAAGAAAAAAAATTGTGCCAAAATATAAGTCGTTTTGTAATTTCTATGTATAATTAATTTTTTTTATTCCTAAAATACCCCTAATTCATCGTATAGAGATACAACATAAATTCAAAGTTATCAAAATTATAAATTTGGGTAGTAAATACAAGTCTAAAAACTACTCTATATAAACGAAATAATTTATTATTCCTCAAAACGTCAAAAGATTAAATAAATTAAATCCACATTAGTCAAGTCTTATTAAGATAATTACCAACCCCTAATAAACAGAAAATTTTATTTCATTGAAGATCGCAGAATGATTTTATTATTCAACTTTTTGACCAAATGGTTATTTAAATTTATAAACTTAAATATAATTTAACAAATTAGATGGATCTGCCAAATTAGTATCATTTCAAATAATCTTTTTATAGAAATTTATTAAAAATTATTAAAATATTTATATCCTTTTAAATAGTTTTTTTTTGAAATATCCATATTTAAATGATATTTAAAATTTGTTTCTTAATGTCATAAATAAAGTTAGTATTATAATATTAAAACTATTTTTTTTACTAAAATGATTATTTAATATTTTAATTTTTCGTTAAACAATCAAAATTTTCTATTCCAATACTAATATACAATACATTATATCATCATACTAATATTTTTAAAATCAGACCAAATTTAAATGACTAAAACTATGAGATTAATGTTAGGTCGATCAATTTATTTACATCATAACAATTAAAATAAAATAATATTTAAAAAGTAAAAGAAGGGCAAAAGTAAAAATCGTCCGACTTAGTTAACTTTGATCTATTTAATCAAATTAAGATGTAAATATCATCAAACCAAATCCAACTGATTCTCGATTTAACCGGTTAATCTTCAATTCTAACTTCTTTTTTTAAATATTGCATCAAACGGTTCATGGTTTTTGTTTAGTTATATAGTTGAACCGTACCAAACATATATAGATTCCATTTTCTTAAAAACTCAATTAATTTCAAATTCTTTGTTTGTCATTTACATATAGGCACTGTTGACCTTATCGCCTTCACCTTAATTTATTAATTTCTTCATTTATTTAAAAAGTGATAACAGTATCGTAAGTATATAGAAAGATACTCAATAATTTAAAGTAAAAAAACTGTATTAATTTTTAAACAACACCATAATAAAATGAACTATGTCAAATTATATTAACCAAACATAATCACTAAAGAATATACTAGAATTTTTATTAATGGTTAGTATATTGAAAATGACTTTTATTTATTTTTAATTTTATTTTCAATATTAAAAGGGATACGTTTCAACTTATTATCCGCTTGTATTTCTATATAAACTTTATTATATATAAGTAAAATTATACTAATACTAATTCTACATGAAAAAACAATTTAATAAAAATATAATAAAAAAATATAATAATTTTGAAAACTTACAAAATTTAGGTTATAAGAGCGTGTGAATTTTGATTACAATAAAATTATTTTGTTATTTTTTTTATTTTAAAATGTGTAAAGTTAAATTTCCATATTATACGTTTTTCGCAAATAACAATATCAGGGTATTTTAGATAAAAGTTTAAATTTTTTATTAAATTTGATAGAATTTAATGTTACAGATTTCCAAAATCTAATGGAATTCATTTTATTTGGATGGATAGTAATAGTATAATATAATTCTGTTAGTTTAGTACAAAGTATCTAATCATTTTAAAATGGACAATTCAATTGTCATAAATAAATTAAATGTGTCTGTTTCTTTTGTCACGTGATTAAATTATTGTAACAATTTTACAACATTATCATATAAATTAAATTTTTAAGTATTATATTTTATCAATTTTATATATATATATATATATATATATATATATATATATATATATATATATATATATATATATATATATATATATATATAAATTTTTTATTTAATAATTAATTTTTTTCAATTTTAATTTAATTGATTTTCAAAAGGTTAATGATTCATGTACATTTCTGTTTTTATTATTTTAATTATTTATAATACTTTAAATATTTTGCTTCTTATCCCATCAATAATTTATTACTAAATTACCATTTTTTTTTTCAATATTTTCTCTTTCAAGTTCTAACCATTTTAATAAATATTTTTAATTCTATAGTAGCCAAATCTACGTGTATTAATATAAGCAACTTGACAAAGAATAAAACAGAAGTCTTGTTGAAACTATATATAATATAACAAGGTGAACAAGAAAAATCAATCACCAAAAATGAGTTCAATCATTGTGAATAGATGGGTTTGTCCCAATTCTTCGTTGAAGAAAACAATCACAACCAAACACCAAACTCTCATTCCCTTTCTAGCTGTTCCCAATTCTTTGTTGACCAATCAACACACAAGAAATTTGGTTTCTTCTTTTTCTTCTAACAAAATCTCTGCAGTTCACACTAGTGCAGACAGAGGAACCGAAGAAACCGTATCGAATTTCGATTTCAATGTCTACATGCTAGAAAAAGCTAGTATTGTTAACAAAGCATTGGATGAATCAATTGCACTTCAAGAGCCAGTGAAGATTCATGAAGCAATGCGATATTCCCTCCTTGCTGGAGGGAAACGCGTCCGTCCAATTCTCTGCATTGCTGCCTGCGAACTCGTAGGCGGCAAAGCAGAAGCATCTATCGCATCGGCATGTGCTCTGGAAATGATCCACACCATGTCGTTGATCCATGACGATTTACCGTGCATGGACAACGACGATCTGAGACGTGGAAAGCCAACGAGCCACAAAGTCTACGGCGAGGACGTGGCTGTCCTTGCCGGAGACGCGTTGCTTTCGTTGGCTTTTGAACACGTTGCCGTTGCAAGTGAAGGAGTCCCGCCTGAGAAAGTTGTTAGAGCGATTGCTGAGCTGGCGAAATCAGTTGGAAAGGAAGGACTAGTTGCAGGGCAGATTGTTGATTTGGAATCTGAAGGTTTATCGAATGTTGATTTAGAGACACTCGAGTTCATTCATCTGCGGAAAACGGCGGCTTTACTGGAAGCTTCGGTTGTTATGGGAGCAATAGTTGGTGGTGGAAGTCAAGAAGAAATTGAGATTTTGAGAAAATTTGCTAAGTGTATCGGTTTGTTGTTTCAGGTTGTTGATGATATTCTTGATGTTACAAAATCTTCAGAGGAATTGGGGAAAACTGCAGGGAAAGATTTGGTTGCTGATAAAGTTACATATCCTAAGCTTTTGGGATTGGAAAAATCAAAACAGTTTGCTGAAAAATTGGTTAAGGATGCACATGATTGTCTGGTTGGTTTTGATTTTGAAAAGAGTGCTCCTTTGCTTGCTTTAACTAATTACATTGCTTATAGGCAAAATTAAAGAAATACATTTTTAGGTTAAGTAAAATAATCACTAGATGTTGTGAGTTTGAGTCAGAGTTTCTGAAATCGAATATCTTTACCCAACTGCAATAATTCAGTTGAACATCAAATAAATTTGTTTTAGTGGAACACTGTTGCTGGTCTTTTTTTTTATTTTATTTTTATAAAGATGAATTGTAATGTCAGTTAAATTTGTAATAAATCAAATATTTAGTCTAGGGTGAGAGATCTCATCAGATCTATCACTATAAGTGAAGAAAAAATGAATGCATTATTTAAATTTCAAATACTTAATAGCGGTTTTAAACCATCATTAAATATCAGTTTTTTAATAATTTAATGATAATTTTAAATCAACACAAATTTTTAATTTATTTTTAGATTTTAATTTTTTAAACAATAGTTTTAAATCGACACAAAAATAATCACTCAAAATATTTGATTGTTTAAAACCACATCTAAATATGAGTATAAAAAAAAACCTATTAAGATCTATCACACTAGATGGCAACAATACGAAGAATCATAAATGTGTGAAATTTAAAATAAAAAAAAAAAGAAAGTGAAATTTGTAATCTCTTACCACCTATTAAGATACACTAGATGGCACCAATATGAAGAATCACAAAAGGAATAGAAGAATGTTTTTCAAGTTTTCTACTAGTACGCATTATCCGGTCAAAACAAAATTTTATGTGTATTATTTTATTAAATAATCTTTATTAATTATTTGAATATCAACTTTCAACATTAAATTTTACAGTTACTCTCCATTTTTAGGCAATCTATGATAACGTCAATATTATTGAAAATTTACAGTAAAATTTATGTATTAGTTTGATTTACAATAAAATTTCGTATTTGTGTGAAATTACTTAGAAAGACGAGGCATCCAATTAAACCTAAAAAAATTCACTTTTGTTTTTATAAAATTATTAATAATATTTTTTTAAAATTTGTGTTATTGATTTTTTTTAAAGGTTTTTTTCTTTTTTCTTTCCACTATTTTATCTTCATGGCTCTTTCTTTGTTGCTCTTTCTTTTCATGTGTTCTTCTTCTTTTTCTTTATTTCTTCTTTCATTTTATCTCATATTTATATATCCATTAAAAAAGGAAAATGATACTCTTTGATCATTTCTTTTTTCTTTTTTTTTTCTTAGAAGGATCAATATTATTTTAGGTTCAATAAAGTTTGAATATTTTTTCAACGGAATCAATAATGCTAGAGTATTTTTCTCTAATTTGTAAAATTATTCAAAATTTTAAAATGATTGTTACATTTAGAATTTTGTATTTGTTTATGTATTTATATATAGTTTTTGTTAATATATGTATTATAACATGGGTTCTTATGCAAACTTAATGTTCTTATACAAACCTGAGTTCTTATGTGAATGTATTAAAATTAGTATGATCATTTTTGCAATAGACTTTTCACGTGAATTTGTTAAAATTTTTCTAAAATTTTCCTACGACCATTTCTGTGACACCGAGTTCTCATGTAATCCAATACTTGTTTCTTAAAATTTATATATGACCAATTTCTACAACACTGAGTTCTCATGTGAAGCTCACTGCTTGTTTGTTAAATTTGTGATATCTCTCATTTATTTTAAATTGCAATTTTGTGGTGTATCAAAGAATAGTAGGTAATCAAAACATATGAATTGAAACGAATGTGGTAAGTGTCTACATGGGAGACCATTTAGAGTGTGGAGTTAGAACTACATCAATATGTGAAAATGTGAATTCATTTATTAACAAATATGTTCAACACAAAAATAGCCTTGATTTCTTGCATAATTTTAAAGATGGTTTGAAAGAATGAATGTACAATGAATTAAAGTTTGATTTCAATTCGTTTTATTATCAACATATTTTGAAGACTCCTTTTCTGGGATTGGAGCTTGAAGCTTCAAATATATTCACTTTAAAAAAGTTCAAAGAAGTAAAAGTTACAATAGAGGGTGTTACTGTCTTATCTGTCACTAAACAGGATGAAGTTAGAGACAATGTAATTTTTAAAGTAAACATATACCACATCAAAGATGTAATATTTTTGGTTCATCTTAACAAGGGACAAAATAAATGTTTATGTTACTATAGACGATTTGAACATAGAGACTTCCATGTTCCCACCTTATTTATGTCATGAAGTATGAGGACACATATACCTTTTCAAAAGTGCACAAAATGATTAGATATCACCATTTTCCTCCGATAAAGTTAATAATGAGGAAAATGATAACATTTCGCTGAGAGGCACCTTGCTGCTGCATTCGATAGGCTATGTGAGATTTCGTGTAAGACTGTCGATCATTATAAGGAGGCTTTAGAAGGAGATAATAATTTATGTGATAAAAAAATACAAACTTCGTGAAGTACATGTCAATGGAAATAGTAAGGCAAATGATCATGTTGTTCTCGATCCAATGAATGTGAAGACCAAAGGTGCCCTTAATAAAAATAAATAAAAAACCCTATATGAAGCTGCATAAATATAGTTCTCATTATAGAAAGCTCAATCACATAATAAAAAAGATGACAATACTTACTTGAATTGCTTTTATAATTGTATACGAGGAGGAGGAGAAGGATTTACTTATTAAATTAATTCTGAATCAAGTCGTTTAAATGTAAGTTGTATATACTATAAATTTCAATCTTTTAATTTATATTGATATTATATTTTCCTTATATCCAAGAGTTTATAAATATAGTTATTAAGTTTATTTACATTTATTTTTCTCTCCGTTGTTAGAAGATTATCTCGTGAGTGAACCCTTTTCTATTGTGTCAAGCAATCTATGTACCAAATTTTTAATTGCATAACATTTAACCAAAAACACTTTCATTCAATCACTTTGAAATTATAAAATACTTAAATCATGGAGACATAGAATTTGAGGTAGAGATAATCAAGGATGAGTTTTCTAGAAATGAATCTTAAGAATTATGGTAAAGGTTAACTCATTTCTATAAAATCGGTTTGTAAGATGAGGATTATTCCTACTTATTTACACATATTTATGTGTATATTACCAGATGTGAGACTCTTGTAAATCTATGTGCTTGCAAGTATATTCAAGAGGTGATCATAAAGACTGTCATACCCTAAATTTTGACCAGACATTTTTGAACTTGCATTCATTTTTGCTTTGCATCATCTATAGCATAATATTACATTTCATTGGGCTCATAGGACGTGGGATCAGAGGTTTTCTTCTAACCTGGATGTTGCCAATTCAGAGGTTATTTATCTTGGTTTTGGTACTTAAGTTTGAAGCAAGGTGGTGGATTTTCAGTATCAAGAGCATCTTTTGTCAGAGGTTCATCAAAGCACAACGTCATCTCCTCTGAATCTCCTCAAGGGTATCAGTTGTTTAGGGTTTTCATCAGTGGCCTAATTGAGAAGACTTTGAATTAGGATTTTGCTTCTCATTAAGTCATTGCTTCATCAGTGTGCACTAAGGGCACGAAGAATATGGTTTCTCACCCTTTGTGTTTAAGATGAGCAAGTGTCGTTCAGTTGAGTTTCATTCGAGGCTAAAAGGTTAAATGCACGTGCAATGTTGTTTCAGTTTTAAATTGGATGTGATCCTAGTCTTGGTCAGGAAAGTGAAGATTGTTTCATTCTTTATATCTGAAGATCATCAAACCAGGGTTTCGTGTCAATTCAAGTTGTCTGTTGAAGTCAAGTTGCAGGGCCATTAAAGAAGTCAAGACAATTGGTACAACTTAGTTTATTTGCAAGTCCTAATTGTGTGGTTCAGGTTCTCGTCATTGACCCAAGGATTCACCCAGTTTATTTTTCAATTGAAGATCATGTTAAGATGAATTTATTGTAAGAACACAGATTGTGTCTTAGTTATATCTCTATGTTTTGATGATAACACTTATGAATTTTGTATTCAAGAATTATATACTCTAAACGTGTTCTAGATTGTTTGCTATAGGCACTAAAGAAAATTATCTTAAGAAAGCAAATTTGGATCTGAACAATGTTATTATGAAGGGCTTCATAGGTTCAAGAGCATCTTAAGTGAAGATCTGAACGCTGCTCCCAGAAGAATCTGATTACTGTCTCTTGAAGATTCTGAAGCAGGAGCCTCTAAAGCATAGAAGACTCTGCTCTGATAGATTTACACGCTCAAGCACACAAGCTGCACATACTCTGATTCAGCTCAATCTGAAGAACATCCAAGACTCTGAAGATCCAGAAGATCTCTATTCTGGAGACTCTGAAGATTCAGATTCTAATGTTGAAAGCTGAACTTACTTTGAAGAAGATTTAAATATGTACGTTGGTTTATCTTAACAGCTCTTTCCTATTTTGTGCTAGACACAAGGACACAGACAAAAAGGTTTTATCTGTGCATTCCATTCTAAGGAAAGTTTTCTGCAAGTGAAGACAAAAGGCATCAGGCTTGTTTCAGCACATCCTCCAATGTGAAGACAAAAGGCTTCAGGCTTTTCTGCACAGCCTTCAACGTAACAAGACTTCTTGGATCTAAGTGCCTCTATAAAGAAGTCCACTCCATCTTCTTTAGTATCGAACTTCTAGCAAAATCTCTCACCATAGCAAAACTCTCAAAGCTCTTATTATTTTATTTTGCTATAACATTGTTCTTAACTTAAGAGAAATATCACAGTTGTGATAACAACTTATTAGAAGCATTCTTACTCTTGTAAAAGTTTTACATTGTTTGTAAAAGGTTTTCCTTAAGAGGATCCAGTTGGGATCAGTTGCTCTTGAGAAGACTAAGAACAGTTGTTCTTAGGTGTTGCTATTGTAATCTGTTTGATTAAATAGTGGATTAAGTCCTTGACAGAGAAAGACAAATCACTCTTGAGAGGGTGGACTGGAGTAGTTGTATTCAACGAACCAGGATAAAAATATCTGTGTTCAAATCTTTGATTTTTAGTCTTACTTATTCAAACCCCCCCCTCTAAGTAATTTTCTCACCTTCATTTATGGTTGTGATGTTGTTCATGAT